TTTGATTTGATCCTGCTCCCGGTGGTTGGAACCTTTATTCCACTCTGGATTCTCATCAGTCTTTGTTCACTTTACAATAAAAAAGAAATAAATAAAAAAACAGTTTTGGAAACTTCGGTTTTCATTCTTTTCCTGCTTTGTGTGTCAACTTTCGCGGTTGCTAAGCAACAGACCTTACGGCGATAAAACCTGCTGAAGGGTAGACCTGGTCGAATTCACAGCCAAAACTCTTCCGGTCTCCTTATTTTCACGGACTTCAAAGGATCCAGTCTAGGTAGACCGTGACCTTGGAGGATGCAGCCCAGGATTTCGAACAGAGCCCCATTCTTGTTGTTTTTGAGCGCGGGTGAAAAACTCAGAGCGGAATCACTGTTGGTTTTTGGGTCGTGTAGTTTTTTTGACTCGCATTATAGTGTAGGCTTAAAGGGAAAAAACTACAAAATGGCGGCGCCGCGCCAGTACTGGAATTTTTTTCTTTCTATTTTATTTTATTTTTTGGCATTGATCCTAGTTTTTTTTTTAGTTATTATCGGTTTGCTCCCGCTCCCGTCTGCTCCCGTTAATGTTTAATCCTGTACCGTCCCAATCACGTGATCGTTACTAATACTGACTCCCATCCCACGGGAATCCCACGGGAATCCCGTGACACATGGGATTCCCGAAAAAATGTCAGTCTCTAGTCCAGACCATAGTCCCCAGGGTAACGCATAGACAGTAGGATCCCCGCATTCCTACTATGGTTGAAGGGGTGCCTCGGATCTGCCTAGCAGCATTGAATTTCCTCCAAGAAGGTTGGAGATGCAGGAAGCTCAAAAGGAGGGGCCACTGGGGCCCTGCAAAAAAGTGATTTCCAGCAGGACGGGTCACTTGAGCGTCATCCAGGGCAACTCTGGCCAAGGCTGCCACAATAATTGCCTATAGATTGCATGGGCCCCCTTGGTGAGAGCTAACTGTAGTTATAAGGGGAATTCCCCCAAAAATTGTGACCTTCCCAAATTCTGGGGATCCATCTCCCAACCTTAAGTCTCTGGGAAGGGGTATCCTTGCTCCCCACTCTGAAATGGAAGCCTTAATAGAGATTCCATCCTCCTACAGATCCTCCCCCGATTCCTAAGATACTGGGGAACAAAAGTGAATACTGGGACTTTGAGTAAGGATTTGAGCTACTCTACCTCAGCGCTCAGGAAATCCACTTCCTGGCAAGATGGGAGCTACAGCCTGGTCATCTTCCTCTGCAGACTACTGAAGTCTTTGGCTGGCACATCCCCTCCTGGTTGAGGCACACCTGAGGGTGTCAGCTCAGCTGCAAAAACAAGATTTTCCACCTGAAGTAGTCTTTTCTCCCTGACAGACAACAGCAGGATGCTGCAGTTCATACATTGGTGAGTCAGAGCTTTTTTGACTGACCCCAAACAATTGGTGTATAGGTCATGGATCTCCTCCACCTGTTGAGGGATTAAACAGGATGTTCAAACCAGCATCTCGGACACATCTGGGAAATGTTATCAGGCACTAGGCAAACTGAGTGAGAACTTCAATAAAACTGAAGAATGAGATCAGAGACCAATGTTAATATTAAGTGATCACACACACGCTTGCGATGACTGATATTTTGTAACGCTACTCACTTGTAGCCAGCAGCTGTCCACCTTTCTCAACCCAGTCTCGCAGGGGAAAGGTAGCATCTGCAGCTAAAAAACATGAGAGCCATAAGTGGATGAGCCGTCCTCAGCTGGACACTTCACGACCAAACTACGACAACAAACAATAGAAATACAAACAATCACGTCAACCACAGCCTTAGAGGGCTACAAAGAGCACTCTGACAAACAAGTCACAGGCAGGATGATGCCCTACACAGCTTCAGATCACTTGTGATTCATGGTTTATCATTTGGGAATCATTTCATTGTTCTGCTAGGGATGGTGTTATCTACACTGAAGTGTATTTACTCAGCTACACACTCAGTCATTGCATTGATGTTCTCTCCATGTGGCTGAAAAATTGCATAGTACCAGTCCATTGCCTTCAAAACAACCCTCCAGGGCTTCTTCAGCTTCCTTTGAGCATTTTCTTACAGTTTTAGTTACTGCAGGTTGTCTCATATAAAGTGGCTTGTACTCTGAGCAGAGAAAAACAAGATTGTGATCTGATTTCCCATTTTTATCTGGTGCAGCTGCTGACACACTGTTGGAAATTTGGCAGTGTAGGAGAGAGAGAGAAGTGATTAAAATCATCACTTAATGCCACAAAAGCATTAGCAATAATGGAACCTCAAATCCAGTATCAGCAACAGCAGAAGGTGAAATGTAAACGGTTACAAACAGAACAAGTCTAAATCACAATATGGTGCAATATTTGGTCTGGGCCCCGAGCGCTTTTCTAGTTCCATTATTTAAAACTTAGTTTTTCAGGTTTTAGCCCATAATAATGAAGTTCTCTTTTTTAAATAATTATTTACAGTGGGGGCCACCTCCAGAGCCCCACCCCCGCCGGGAAACCCTCTTAACTTGGTTTCCACAGTGATCCTGGTCTTCTGTAAATACCTCATCTCTACTTTTCTGTTTATGTTTTTATAAAAAAAAAAAATTACAAGGTAATGCTTCAACATCATTCTCACCTCTTAATAAAACAATGAACTGATGATTGAAATAAAAGCTACTTTGTTAACACTTCTCTCCTGTTACAGGATAAAATACTATCACTCTCTTCTGGAGAAACCACAGCAATAGGAACACCAAAGAACACCACTCATCTTTTATTGATTTTGTTTTTTTAATCAAGCATTACTTAATGTAACTTTCTTTTATGTATTTTCACTTTCATAGGTTATTCCTCCTTTTTATTCTTCATTATTTAAATTCTGTCATATAATCTAAAGGGCATCTTTTCTGGATTAGTTTATCGTAGTCTGGTTATTTTCCTTTTTTGAGTTTTTTACAGCCTTAGTGGCTTGTTTTTTGTACAGTGGGCTGACAGGAAAGGGGATTTAAGAGAGGAGTAGAGACATGTCACAAAAGACCACAGGTTGGATGAGAATCTGGGTAGGCCACATCGAGGACTAAGATCTCCCTACATGGGTCATGCGTGCTGACCACTGCGCCACCATCGCATGCCCCATATATTGTATTGGGCATGCATCAACACAGAAATGAGTTTAACTAATTTGTAGATAAATTATACAGAAATCTGTATCTACTTATATTTCAGCTTTTTGTAATGTAATCAATGTTTAACTTTGTTTTTGCTCAGATTTAAGTGAAATCCAAGCCTTCCTTCTGTTGAACAAATAGAAAATACAGTGTATAATATTTTGACAATAAAGATACAAACTGAACATCTACAAGCCTCCTCTCTTGTGGTTTCTAATAAAAGCCCTGACAGGGTCCGTTTCTGTCAGAGCAAAGCCAATATAAGCCACTCCTCCTGCAGACGGTATTAACTACACGTGAGTTTTAAACAATCTCAGGCCAATCTAGTCAACCATAACCATCTGGCATGTGGGTTTTGTGTTCTTACAGGGTACCTAAAGTTTCCTGCTCTGGCTCTTGCAGCTCCTTCCACAGTGGGGCCATGGGCTTAGGTTTGCATAGGGACCATAGGGACATGTCCCTACCAAGATTTTGGACCAACCTATTTGTCCCTACCAATAATTCGATTTGAATAACATGTTTATATAAAATGTTTATAATTTACAATTCAGTGTGGTGGATCACACAGCCTATTCTTTTTCTCTCGCAGCTCTGCGGGTTAGTAGCTGCTGCTGCCGCCCCGTCTTGCTGCCCGGTATTTCCTGTCCTTTAAAGTCAGTAGCTGTGCTGTTTAGCTCCACTCTCATTGGTTGTTCTGCCTCAAGTTCCGCCTTCTCTCTTCCTGATTGGCTGTTTTCTAGTTCGTATGCGTGTGTGCGTGCTTGGAGCACGAAATAAGACATTTTTTTCACACTAGTTACTTCGGATAATATTAGGCTACAAAACTAGTCCTAATGAAAAAAATTGTATTCTATCTATGCTAAACAGCTGCTGATTGCTGATTCTTAGCCAAAGCCGACTGAAAAGGAAAATGTGAGGGTTTCCCTTTTAACAATAATTCATTGCAATGACTGTTTTCATTTTATGACGACCCTTTGAGGCAGTTCAGCTATAAATAGCAGGTGTTATTTCTTTTATAGAGTATAACAACACGAGATGACGCCTAAACATCTGCTACTTTTTGTTTAGAAAGCATAATTATGGTTCCACATAATGTTGCTTTTTCTTTGACTATTTCTACTTTTAAAAATAGGATGAAGCCAATAACAAACAGAGGAACACTTTTTACATTGATTTTATTTTACATAGATGTCCACACAGTCCATAAGTTAATTAGTACAAACATTAGTGGTTGGTAAAATGTTTGAATGTTTATTTGAAATATTATTAGATTACAGAAAAGATGGCCTTATATTTTCTTTTAATAATTGTTTCACCTGTTTACCTTTGCACAATTATATATCTTCAAAAGAAAATACAGGATAAATCCACATATAACGGGCATATTTAGACTATAGTTGGTTAAACTGGCACATATTTTCCTACTGTCTTAGTCACTGGTAAGTTTAAATAGAAACCTTTTCAAAAAAGTCCTAATTCCTCATTCATCAGAGCCAGTGATGCTTCTAACATTGATAAACAACATATAGTGTGTGTAGTGCTTATAAAGTAGTATAAATGTAGCAAGAAATGCTGCTTTTCTCTTTAAACGAAATGCACCCTGATGCTCATGTCAAGCATAAAAAAAGCATGCATATTTTTACATAGGTAAAATTACATTAATGAAACTTAGGACCAATAGTGTCCCTACCAAAGTGGAAATCAAACCTACGCCCTTGAGTGGGGCTAACCGTAAACCTTTGTGCAGAACAGGCTACTTCCCTTTTTTTTGTCACTAGTGTTTATATCTTGTCTGCTCCTTCAGGAAGAATAACACAAAAGCGACTTCATTATAACTGCCCATGAGACTGGGTGCAGCAGTGGAAAAAGATTACACCGTGGTCAGGTTGCTCCAGTAGTAACACAAAGAAAAGATGGAAAGATTTTTATTGAAAAGTAAACAAAATAGAAATAAATTATTGGAACCGGTGGGTTCTGAGAAGCTGCTGAGCGCTGCTGTGACTAACAGAGAGTCAACAGTCCCAAACTGAAAGGGGGAGTGTGTCTGTCTCTCTCTTGTACCTCTGTTGAACATCAGTTCCTCTTGCACCTTAAAGGTGCAACTCATGTTTTCCGCAGAAAAATTGGGCTGAACCCAAATAGTAGTATCGCCTGAGAATTCTCATGTCCAAAACTAGCACCTGTCTTCCTTCAGGTTGTTTCCTTGAATCAACTTGCTTTCCCTCTATTAGTGCTCATAGTAACGGTTGCATGCTCCTATAAAATAAACAGAAAAAAGAGTAAAATTGCAATGCTGCCTTTATAAAGTAAATAGCCCTTTCTTGATGGCTTATACATAATAACATGATTTAAAAATTTGATTATTATTGTTGACGCAGCCATTGCAACAAGAGCTGATCAGCTGGATAAAGACAGAGGCAAGATACGACACAGAGACATGGATTTCTGTTTGGCCAGCATGCAATCATTTTTGTGAATGAGCTGCGGTCATTTATTGACAATTACACACTGGTGTTTAACCACGCACAAATCCCAAACTGAAAAACAGGGTCAATTAGGGACACAGATGTCAACAATTATGATTGACATAGGGGCTACACAGTGGTACAGGGGGTAGAACTGTTGCCTTGCACAAAGAAGGTCCAGAGTGAAATTCCTAGCCTTGGGCATGTACTTTGCACGTTCTCCCTTGCATGTGTAGGTTCTCTCTGGGTAATCCTGCATTACTCCCACAGTCTAAAAATAATACTTTAGGTTAATTGTCACCTCTAAATTGTCCTTAGGTGTGAGTGTGTGTGCATGGTTTTCTGTCTCTGTTGCCCTGCGACAGAATGATGAACTGTCCAGGGTTGCTGGATGTCTTTTTGGATTTCAACGACCGACCTTCAGAATCAGAGACAGGTTTCAGATATTACAGGCCAACAATGGAACCAAAGGACCTGCTTGTCGGTTTCAATTTGCATGCTTCCAAGCAATAAAAGGCTTTTTCTATATAAAGCCTCAAACTCCCTGCGGACCCAGACATTTGAATTGAGAAAGTTTCCTGGAGTCCGAGCGAAACATCTTCAAACCTTGTAAACCAAGTCCAGTGGATTGTTTTTTCTAAACGCACCACACCTGCATGTGAGACGGCTGAACGTTTTTCCAACTGATGCAGCAGTCTTAAGCTCATTATTTCCAGTGATGGGACTAACGGCGTTGAAAGTAACGGCGTTACTAACGCTGTTACCTTGTTTTAGTAACGAGTAATCTA